GGATGGCTTCTCAGAACTGCGTTGGGAAGACCAGGAAAAAATTAAAAAACACATAGAAAGTGGAGGAGCTGCAGCAGGTAAGCTGCTCACTGGTGATAAAAAGAGAAACAGTTGTTAGGTGAACCACTAACTTGAGCGGGTTTAGAAGTCTGTCATTTCTATGTTGAGAGCAGACTTTATTAATGGAGAAATGTTAGAAGGTCTTCAAAATGTAATTGCTTAAGAAATTATTTGGAAGTAATTCATTGAATTACTATTGTTGTCGCCCTCTGGGATCATTCTTGCATGTTCTAGAAAACATTCATTGCAACCAAGCATTTCTCTTTCGTAGACTGGTCTCAGAAAGTCTTAATATTTATTACTGAGCAAAACTAACTGATTTATGTATCTTATTTCTGTTGTCCCAGGGGATTAATTAAAGCAGAACCTAAAAATTATTCCTTTTTTCTTTTTTTTTAGGCAAAGGTGGCCAAGAGGGAGGCGGCAAACGTGAAAAAAGTTTAAATGATTTTGCAGCAGAATATGCAAAGTCCAATAGAAGTACTTGCAAAGATTGTGAACGAAAGATAGAAAAGGTAAACATATGTACAGCTCTCTGTGTGTAAAGATGTAGACATTCACACAAAGATACACAAACACTGTTTTTAATGGCAGAAATGTTTTCTACAGCAGGGGTCCCATCCCCAGACCATGGCCCACTACAGTGCTGTGAGCTGTTCAAAATCAGGGCAGTCAATGGGGACTCATTCCACTTTTATTTCAGAAACAAAGTTCTTATTAATGTGTCTTTTGGAAACACTAACTTTCAGAAACAGCGAAGAAAACCCAAAATGCATTATTCTGAATTGAAATATTAAAGTCCTGGCTTATAACCTTGGCAGGCAATTGCCTAGTTTTGTTTGTGAGTTTGTTTCTAATTTTTCTTTCTCTCTACCCAGGGTCAGATCAGAATCTCAAAGAAAATGGTGCTTGCTGAAAAGCCACAGCTGGGGATGATAGACAATTGGTACCATCTTGACTGTTTCAGTAGCCGCAGAACAAATCTGGGTTTTCTTCCTACTTTTAATGCCTCTCAGATCCAGGGCTTTGAGCTCCTGAAGGCAGAAGACAAAGAAATTCTAAAGAAGCAGCTACCATCTGTCAAGAATGAAGGGTATGTAGAAGATGCCAAAAAAGGTGCATGCCATGCTGTTGAGCCCTGATTTTGATCATTTTATGACAGATTCTTCTAAAACACCAGTTTGCTGCAGTTCATTGGTACCAGTCAACCTTTCTATGTGATCTCTATTCTTTAATGAAATGCTAATACTTGTATTGAACATAAGCTGAGAGCCAATGTAGTGTAGGTTCTGGTTCAGAATTGGGAAAAGCAAGAAGCGAGAAGAAGGGATACATCATCCTAAGCTTCTAAAAGAAAGGTAGGTGTCTCTGTGTGTATGCATATTTGTGTGTGTGTGTACACACACTATATAAACTCACTGTATACTGTACACTGTACACTGAATTAATCTTATATATGTTAAAAGGAATTGGAGAAATAACTTTAAATAACTCTCCTTAGCACACTGTATGTATTATTTTTTTCAGAAAGCGAAAGGGAGATGAGGTGGATGCAAATGTGATCTCAAAAAAGAGACCCAAGAAAGAGAAAGAAAAATTATTGAAACAAGAAAAGCTGTTAAAGGTTTGTTTTGCTATGACTAAGTTTCATTTAAAGTATCTTTTGATGAGGAGGTAGAATACCCTAAGAGTAATTTGGCTTCTTGATGGAGACTGCTATCTTTTGCATTGTCACTGATCTGAATATGGTTTAACCCTGAAGGATGCTTGAAGTAAGTGGAATGTGATACTGAAGGAGCTGACAGTGTTGCCAACTTTTATTTAGAACTAGTCTCATATTTTGGTAACTTGGCTTAACTGCAAGTCAAGTCTGAGAAGATGCTAGCCTGAAATATCCTTCTGGTTATTCTAAGTATCTAGGAGTACCGTATTTATCGGCGTATAACACGCACTTTTTCCCCCTGAAAATAGGGGGCAAATGATGTGTGCGTGTTATACGCCGATATACGGCCAGCCCGGGTAAATTCGGCCATATTCTTCAATACGGGCCGGCCCCAGCAGTTCCCCTCTCCTCTTTGTGTGTGTGTGTGTGTTTGTCTCTCTCTCTCTCAATTCTCCC